AAAAAAAAAAAAAAAAGTACCAGAGATACTATATATTATTCTTACCTCACAACGTTGAATTTCATCTTCAACCTTACGTGCATGATAAATATTATTGATGAATGCTTACTTCGACCATATGATGGAGCTCCACATGTAGTGGCTACATTTGGCCACGGAGTAACCAAATCTGCCTCATGCAAAGTAGAACGATATTCAAGTTGCGGCTTAAGAAAAAGATCGATGGGGCGGGGTCGGTTTAATTCAATCCACTGTCTCTCCACCAAACTTGGACTTTTGAATCCAAAAGAATCTTTTGAGGATCATACAATTTGTGCCAAGTCAAATCTGGAAGTAGATGTGTACAATAGAAGATATAAAGGATAGTGAAAGCACAATGGAGAAGACACCAAAAAGGGGGCATTCGTAGAAATTGAAATATACCTAATTCTCAGAATGATTCCTGAGAAAAACGAAAATGATATATACAATTATAACGCTACATATAAAGTATTGTAAATTTGTAATCATGATTTTTCACTATAATATTTATTTATTTTTTTTAAATATATTCATAATATTATATATAAAAAATAATTTAATAATATATTATAATTATAAATTTATAATCTAACTAATATTATAACTATAGTATATTGCCATAAGGGTTTGCTATTTTGTTGAGTGCTACTGTTATGGAAGGACAACAAATGCTTTCTCACTTTAATTGGCTGTGATTCAATTCAACGGTAGCAAGTATTCAATAAAATATTTGATTTCATGAACTTCTGATCTTGACTAATTTTAGCCTTTTGTTGAGATAAAACTGAAGTCTATATCCATCCAACAAAAGAAGATGCTTCTGAACAACATTAAAAACCTTACCAAACCAGTTAAAGTGCAGCAACTTAGATTGATCGGAGACTTTTGTATCCACCCAAATCCTACAAAATATGATCCTTATCGACCGTGAAGAATTTGTCGGTAAAAACCCACTTTGATTGAGAGACTACAGACTGAGAACTGACAGAACCTGAAACATCAAGCAAGAGATCTTAGAATTTCTAAACTGTAGACTTTTTTTTAATGTGTGGAGGAAAATTTTAGTCCAAATAATGCGATTGAATGTATTCACCCTTGGCACCGACGTTTTTCTTTGATGGTATGATGTCCCAAAACCATGGTGCAAGCGTGCAGCCATGTCTTTACAATGCTTTTCAAATACAAGTGTATATCACTTAATAGTCAAAGAGTTGGGGCTGGTATGCAGAATTAGATTGAAGTATCATCTAGCATCAATCAACTCTACACAATATCCAGGGGATGTACTGGGATTCTTTAAATCTCGTGTTTTGGCAACACTAGAGTCATAAATTTGTCCTATGGCTTCCTACATCATCATTGCAACAGAGTAAAGGAGAATGTTTCTTTTTTCTACCTAAGCAGCTGTTTAAAGTCATATGTAGCTGTAATTGATTTGTGTCAAGGCAGAGGACAGCTTTGATGGCAATGGTACACCTTTTTTTTTTTTTTTAATACCGCATTTCTGTTTCTTTCTTCATAAAAAATAAAAATAAAAATAAAAAAAAAGAAGAAAAATTAAGCTCACACATGATGACAGAAAGATTATCCCTTAAGAGTACATAATTATACAAGTATACCATGGATTCATGGTTGATAAAATCAAGCGGAACCTCTCTTTTGACTAAAACAGAGGAGGGACAGAGCTTCAGATTCAATATAATTCAATACACAGGAATCTTTTGTCTCCCAGAGCAAAACAATGAGGACAGGAAAACTTGAAATCTTTGACTCTAAACGAAACAAGAACATGTTTTTCTTAGTTAACAGACATCTTGGGATCAATAATTGTAGCTGACATTCAAATTTGTTCCAATCAAACTGTGTTTCTGTTAAATCATTAATTGCTCCTTGTGTGTATTATTGACTAGGAAGTTCAGTCTCCGTGTTCAATGAATAATTACAGATAATTAAATGAGGTTAAATGTATCAATGGCAGAATGGAAAAGTTCCAAAGAGGCGACAAATTGTGGAATTGTTGGTTGGTGCTTCCTCCTAGGCACATCTACTAGTACCATTTGATGATTAAATATTCCTCTTCCTATCCTTTAATTGTTCTCAACTCGTAATCATAGTAACCCAAATGCCAAATTAAAATCATAAACTGACAAAATGTACTCACCCTGCTCTGCGCTGCTTACTGTGGGGGAGAAAAGGTCCAAACAATGATATGAACTTTATTGTTTTTTTATTTAAAGAAGTGTACATTGTTGGTTTCTTATAAATAAAATAATAAAATTTTTAATTTTTTTATTTAAAAATATAAATTTTATTACTTACAACCTGTTAATCTGAATAGAAAGAGTTCAATCTCTTTTAAACAATATCTTAAATTCAAATCTTTTGAATGAAAAAATAAGTATTAGAAATCTTGGTTTAAAAACAAGAGTTTCCTCTCTAATAAAGTTTGATATGGTTCAATTATGAATTAATCGGAACTAATATGATTGTTAAATACCCAAAAATTAATATCAAAATATATATTTTTTAATTTATTTTTATTTAAAGATTAATTAGATGGTTAAAAAATTATTTAACACATCAATGTTACCATTTAATTAATCTTTAAACAAAAAAAATAAAAAATTAGTATATTTAGATAGAAAAAATTCACTTATCCAAAAAAAAAAAAATTGACTATTTTATTTTAAAATCGATAAAATTTATATTTTAAATGAAAATAATAACAAGATTCATATTCTTATCTACTCATTTTTTAGCTTACACTGCTCAATGAACCAAACCTAACTACTTCTATGACCCTGCCTGTTCTCAAACTCTTGCAAGCCCAAGCTGCAAGGATATGCTAACTCTAACAAGCCAATGATGGGGGCAGTAGTGCAGGTCAATCAAGTTTCCTTTCTAGGGAAAAAGGAAATTAAAGAAGACAAGAATAGAGAAGAAATCAATATGCCCATTTGGGCATACCATCAAACAATTGAAATTTATGTTTCACCACGCACAAGCCCACTGACTGCTACTGGGCTTTGTGGGGGACGCTGGCTGGGTCACCCTCAGTCTGAGTCTGAGTCTGAGTCCCAGCCTCCCCTTTCCCCAAACCTTTATGAATAATGTAAAGAATTGCCCTTGTTCAAGATAAGAAAAGTTGAAATGAAATCCCAATTGACAATACCAATGAAAAAT